CCACATGTGAGCTGGAGGATCATGCCTGGAGGGAGGTGGTTTTCCTGCATCAGGGCAGTGATTTGGGGGTAATGTGTGGGAGGCTGTGGTGGTTGCTAATGCCTGAGGGGGCTTCCCTTTCAGACTTACTCAGAGCAAAGTCTCCCATGTATGAGGCATCCAATAAATGTTGAAATTATAGATTTGGGGAAAGCTGTCATTCTGGTGGTGGGTGGGTGCCGGGTGTTGCTCAGTGTGTCCTCGGGTGTGTGGCTGCAGGGCTTGATGTTCGGCTACGCCACCGACGAGACGGAGGAGTGCATGCCCCTCACCATCGTCCTGGCACACAAGCTCAATGCCCGCATGGCGGAGCTGCGGCGCACTGGTGCCCTGCCCTGGCTGAGGCCGGACTCCAAGACCCAGGTGAGTGCTTCCACCACTCCTGTAGCGTTCCTGGAACTTCATCCGGAGTTCTCTCCACTCTTGGCATTTTTAAGATCAAAATACTCAGTCTGCACTTTCAGCAACTTACTTGAAAGACTATTTCTTTGAAAATTTCATTTATAGCCCACCCTCACATTTTAATATGAAATTTCAAAAACCAGTGAAAGGTTGCAAGAGCAATTGTTGGTCGCGTTTTGCCTCCTCCACTGTAGAGTCTGCTGACTAACAGTTCCCGCTGGGCCTTGCTTCTCTACCAAGGCTTCAGGCAGTTTGGTCCCTGCGTTTCCATCCACATGGTCCCACACCTCCACAGGCTGTCTCACTGTCTGTGGCACACCGCAGCTCTTTGGCTCATCTCTCTTTTTCATGCTAAAGCTTCACCTTCACTTCACCTTTGTCCCAGCCTAGCGGGCCCTGACCTCTGCTTCCTGCACTGTTGAAATCATCCCAATGCCTCTATTTGAGTGTGGCCCTGAAGGCTAGGGTGGCGCAGGCATGGCACACACAGACCCCTCCTGTTGGCCTTCACCCTGTGTCCCTTCCTGTTGAACCTGGTGACTGATGGCTCTACTCCCAGTGACCTGCTCTGGCTGCTCTTCCACATGGCACCACATGACACCCCACATCTTGGCACCTCTTCCTACATGTGCTCAAGCCTTCTGGGTCCTATCTTCCTGTCACACACACAGCTCCTGACTCCCCGTACCCTGTTATATGAAGTCATTTGCCCTGTTCTCAGTGCACTTGTGTGCTTGAGAGCCTGTGATATATACTCCTATCACGACTGCTCTGCTGAAGGACAGGTTAGAGCCTCTCCTGTTCCCTAGCCCTGCTCAGTGCCAACCCTGTCTCCACCCTACCTGGACCCCAAATTTCCCTACTGAGAATCCCTGTTGTTCCAGGCCAGCCTGGCCAGGATGCTCCCCTCCTGAAGGTTCTCCCCGCTAGAAATCTCCAGTTAACTTCCTACAGGCTTCACCTTTGATTTCTTAAGGTCTGTTTAGGGTCCCTTCAAGTTTCCATTTCCTGTGGGAGGATTGAGAATCCCCTTTGCATTCCAACACTCAGTGGTCTCCCTGTTTCACCTTCCTCAGCCGGTGTCCTCCCTCCCACCCTGTCTTGGCTCACTGGACCTCGCTGGGCTCAGGTCCCCTTGTCTCTTGAGGCTTTATGCTTGTGGCTTGCTCAGGGTCACTTGTGGTTCTTGTTTGTCCAACAGGACCAGCCAAGTACAGGTACCTTTGTGGGTGCCAGCCCTGGCAGCTAGCAGACAGCACCTTCTCTTGCTTGTGCACTTGGAATCAAAACTCAGGACTTTGGGTCTCACCACTGTGTATGTGGCTCTGTTCCACTCTCCAATACATAGAGTGTCATTGTCCCAAGCTTGAGTCCCTGCATAGGCCAGGCATTGCAGATCAGTGGCAGCTGGGACTAGGTCTCATGCTTGGGGCCCAAAGAGACCCCTTTCTGGGCCTTTCTGTGCTATCTAAGTGACTACAGGGGGCAGGCAGGACCCCAGCACTGCTCGGTGTTATTTCAGGTTGTGAGGCAGGGGAGCTACTGTTTGGAAAGAGTGGTGGTATAGAAGGAAGGGGACACACCCTTTCCATCTCTGCAGGAAGACCGTTGGGATTTGAAACAGTGGAGATTCTTAGAAAAGTGGATCTCAGAGCAGTAATGGAGGGCATGAGGGAGACCGCTAGGGCCCTCCTCAGGTGAGAGCGAGCCAGGGAGGATCCAGGCTGTCAGACCAAGGCCTCCTTTGCTGAGCTTAGATAAAAAACAGGAAGCATCCCAGCCAAAGCCAGGTATGGTGGTGCATGCATGGAGCACCAGCACACTGAGAGGCTCACACAGGAGGAGCTCAACTTCTAGCACAGTGTGGACAACTCAGTGTCTAAGCAAGACACTGCCTCAAAATACATTTAATAAGGGAGCTGGGAGTGTTGGGGATATATCTCTGTGCAAAGGTCCTGGGTTTAATCCCTGTACAAAAAAAAAAAAAAAAAAAAAGAAAGAAAGAAAAAGAAAAAGAAAAAGAAAGTGTCCCAATCCAGGGCATGGAGGGAAGGAGGAGAGCAGAGCTGCCCTAAGTGCCAGAGGTCTGCCTAACTCCCTGCCATGGCGGCCCCTGACAGCTCTGGCTGCAGGGCGCACACCTTGCCAGCAGCCCTTGGGGCACAGCACAGCCTGGGTCCCTCCCTGCACAGCCTGGGTGCTGGGCCACGGTGCGGGTGTGGAGCAGCCTTGTGCCTTCTTCCCTGCACCCTGTTGTGAAGGATTCTCTGCACTGTGCAATGTTGACCGTGAACAGAATGAATCTTTCCACCTGAACAAACTCTTGCTGCTGATACTGAGAACTGGGAGGCAGGATGGAGGCTATTTTTGTCCTCAGTCCGAGCTATGTTTTCCATGCTGTATTTTTCCCCATATCTTGCTGACGCCATGAGATAAGAGCCTCTGCTCCACCCACCAAGCTCTATCTTTCTGTACAGGTGCTCCCCGGGTGCAGGTTGGAGCATGGGGGCTCCTCTTCTCCTTGAGCCTGCGCACTGCCTCCCTCCTGGGATCCCAGTGCCAGCCCTGCCCAGTGTTTGAGGCTTCTCTGTATCCCCCTGCCTCTGCTATATCGTAGGGTCAGGTGTCAGGGGACTCGGCTCTCATCCCTTTTTCTGAATCCCACCCTTGTGCTCTCTGGAGCAGGCAGGACCCAGAACAGAACTCACCTGATACAGACTCAGCAAGGCAGAGACCAGGGAGGCACTTCCTGCAGCCCATGCCTGATCAGGCCCCTGGGAAGGAGCAGTCCTTGGCCCTAGTGTGTGTGGTCCTACAGATGCCCAGAGCCTGCTCTGGAGGGTGTGCACAGCTTCGGGCCGCATCAGGTCTGTGGCCCAGCACCTGACTCGGGGTGTCCAGCGGCAACCTTCTGCTAGCAAAATCCTGCCTGTTAGACTACAAAGCTACAGGGTAGGCTGCAGCCCCTCTGTGCAATCTTGACCAAGTATCTTCCATCTAGAACCTCAGCTTTCTCTCTGGAAGACAGGCTGGTATTGTCTGTGGCATGGCCTCTAGGACACAGTGCGTGGTCAGCCAATGTCCGTTTCTCCTCCTAGCTTCCTTGCTGTCCTCCCCACCTTCTTCCCAAGCACTCTGCAGATCCAGATGTCCCAGTTTATTTTCCTTTGTCACCAAGGCATGTCAGTCTGTGACATCAGACCAGTGTGCCTGGTGACATGTCAGTGGAGGGCTCTCTGGAGAAGCATCTTATCAGGGCTGTAGTAGGAATGTGGGTTTTGCATTGGGCTGAGCTAGGATTGGCTACAGGTCTTTCCCCAGCTTGTTGTATGACACCAGACAAGTGACTTTTCTGTCCCCTTGCTTTGCTCTTCTCTTGTGAAGTGGGGACAACAGTGCTTCCTGTGTGGGGACGTCTCATGGATTAACATAATTTCCCAGATAAGGGTTACACTGACCTGTGGAGGTGAGAGTTTGTGTTAGATCCATACCTGGGACGTGACTGCTGGAACCCCACAGGTGGTCCTTCCCCCCCGGGGCCCAGTACTCATCCTTTCTTTCGGTAAAACACTTGGCCCAGAACTGGTCTGCAGATAGCTGCCCCAGCTTACTCAGTCACTCTGGTCAGGGTCCCTCCCACTCTGTCCCAACAGAGGCAAGTCCACTACCTCTGACACGGCTGCGGATTCCCTTCTTCAGGTACTGGGCTCCCCCATGGGGCTCCTCCCCTCTGTTTTCAGGGGCTCTAATAATAATTGTCCTTGTCAGAGCCTTCTCTTGACCCTTCATGGCCCAGGCCAAAGTGGGCCTGTCCCTGCAAACGACCTATGGCCCCTGAGTTCCTGTTATCAATGGTAGGAGCAAGAATACTTTGGCCAGAGGCTGTGGAGAGTCAAAAGAGAGATCCGGGCCAGGGGACATTTGCAGGCATCCAGCGGCCTCTGGAACAGCAAGGGAGGAGTCTTGGGGGTCCCAGCTGAGAAGTTCATTTCAAAGTTCCACCAACTGGGGTCACACATGGGAGCCGCTTTGCCTTGTGCCCAGTCACCTCACAGTGCCTGATAACTTTTCAAATGTAAAAACGTGTCATATCCAGTCTCTGAAGCTGTCTGAGGACAGGTGGCCTCGCTTGTCCCCGGGGTCCTCTGACTCTGGGATCTGTGCCTGGCAGCAATGTGCTGCAGCCTCACGACACCCTGCCTCCCCTTTGGATGCCCAGGTGACAGTTCAGTACACGCAGAAAAGTGGCGCCGTGATTCCTGTGCGTGTCCACACCATCGTCATCTCCGTGCAGCACAATGAGGACATCACACTGGAGGACATGCGCAAGGCTCTGAAAGAGCAGGTGATCAAGGCTGTGGTGCCTGCCAAGTATCTGGATGAGGACACCATTTACCACCTGCAGCCCAGCGGGCGCTTTGTCATCGGTGGTCCCCAGGTGTGTGTGTGTCTGTCCCTGAGTAAAGCCTGTTCCTGGGTCTCGGTTACTGAGGTGGCTTGGCTCCAAGTACACAGGCTGCACAAGAGAGGTTTGAGCAGCTCAGCGTGACTGGCTGAGGACTGAGTGTGAAGTATTGACCCTCAGTCTCACTCATTGAGTGCACTCTGGTGTGTGTGTGGGGAGGGGACCTGCTATCTCAGTACCCTTGGAAGTGAGGACACACCCCTAGGAGTCTCAAATGCTGTCTTACTTGCACACAGCAGTCACTACCCTGCCAGGCTCAGGGTCTCCCTCATGAGCCGCTGCCATGCTTGCTCATGCCTGCCCCTTTCCTGGTGGCACTTACTGAATACCTGCTGCAGTAGCTAGAAGCTCCTCTGGGTACTACAGTTGGGCAGGGACCTCGTAGTGGACACTCCTGCTTCTCCCTCCCCCTGCAGCACAGAAGTGAGGAGCTGGACATCAAATGGCAGAGCACCTTGGATAGGCAGCTGGCAGCTGCTGGGGGCCACAGCTGTGGGGCAGACTCTCAGTGCAAATGGAGCATAGAAAATGGGGTGAACAGAAGTTTTCTCTTGCAGGACTTTTCAAAGCCTACATATACTAGGGTGAACCCTAAAAAGAAGTTAGGATACGAACTTCTAACTCTCTCTAAATCATTTAGCAAACAGCCCCTACCCTTGAAGTGTTTTTAAACTGTACTAATCAGCTTTTCCTTGCTGAGACACAAGGCCTGACACTGGCAATGTAAAGGAGGAAAAGGTTAAGAGGAATCTTATTTGACTTAGTTTCAGGGGATTCTGTCCATGGTCATCTGGCTCTAAGGCAAGAATGTCATGGTGGAAGGGTGTCAGGAAACAAAGGGGATTAGTTCTTGGCAGAGCAGAGGCAGAACAGGGAACAGCACCAGAGAGGAACTAGCCTGGAGCTCTATGTAGTACACAAGGCTGAACCTCCATGACCTACCCAGACACAGCCAGAAGTATCTTGTTCTAATCTTTTAGGTACTTCTTAATCCAATCAGGTTGATATGTCAGGATTAACAGTCACATTGATCAAAGACACACACAGCATACTTGGAAAGGGGGTGGTGACATGGCCATAGCCCAACATTACACTTATTGCAGTGTGATTCCTGCCTACAGGGGGATTTATCCTCATGGACTCAAAGGCATGGTGGGTGGGGCAGCTGTGACCGTAGACAATCGCTGTCCACGTTTAGCACTTTGCCAGTAAGGAGCTGATAGGTCGCCTAATTTCCGTGGCTAGTCAGTGATAGAACCAGGAGGATAATCTGGGCTTCCTGGAAGATTCTCAGCCAAGGGGCCTTTGAAGAAGCTTCAGGGCACTCTTATCAAGGGCTTCAGCCCCTCCACCTCTTCAGGAGCTCATGGCTCATTTCTTCCTTCCATATCTCTGCCTCTGCAGGGGGATGCGGGTGTCACTGGCCGCAAGATCATTGTGGACACCTATGGTGGCTGGGGCGCTCATGGTGGCGGGGCTTTCTCTGGAAAGGACTACACCAAGGTGGACCGCTCAGCAGCCTACGCTGCCCGCTGGGTGGCTAAGTCCCTGGTCAAGGCCGGTCTGTGCCGGAGAGTGCTTGTGCAGGTAGGTTACCCCCACATTCTGAGTCCACTACCCCAGCCCTACTGTCCCTGTCTGAGGACATCAGTATCTCTGAGTGTGACCTTTTTGAAAGGTGTCCTATGCCATTGGAGTGGCAGAGCCGCTGTCCATTTCCATCTTTACCTATGGAACCTCGGAGAAGACAGAGCAGGAGCTACTAGAGGTGGTGAATAGGAACTTTGACCTCCGGCCGGGTGTCATTGTCAGGTAAAAGGGCCACCAGCTGCATGGGACCTTACCCCTTCCTCCCCACAGGCATGACCTGACTGAAAGGTAAGCAGAAGGAAGCTGCCTACAGGTCAGGGTTCTCAGTAGGGGTACTTCTGGGTGTGGGACGCTTGACTTCCAAGTTGAGGAGGCAGTGTGAGAGCCTTGCTGGTCCAGCAGACAGCAACTCCTCAGGAAAGCAACTGGAAGGCCAACTGCATTGCGTGTGCCCTTCTCATGCTTCCTGGAGCCTGGCTGTGGGGTCCTCGGCCTGGCCAAGCAGTGGGCAGCAGGGGAGGAGACAGGCACCATAAGGTGGGGCTCAGCTCCCTGTCCTGGTGCATCTGTGCGGTAAGCTCTCTTGGGAGCATCTGAGCCTCCCTTTCCTGCGCTGCAACACAAGAGTGCTAGCAGCAGAGGCAGGACATGCACAGGGCTGAAGCTCCAGCTGTGCTGCCCGTAGAGTCTGTTCCCTGCCCCTGGCTCAAGTGCAGGGAAAGAGACCCATTCTAGTATGACCTTGTCTCTGCTGCCCATGCAGGGATTTGGACTTGAAGAGGCCCATCTACCAGAAGACAGCCTGCTATGGCCATTTCGGACGGAGCGAGTTCCCCTGGGAGGTGCCCAAGAAGCTTGTGTTTTAGAGCTGGCTGGTGTGGGCCTGACCTTGTGCTGCACACTCTCTTCAAGATCCCAGATGCTGTGTTCCCCCACCCCCTCCTGGCATCATGCCCACCCTGACTCTGCCCTTCCTGGCACATCCTAGCCCTCTCCTCTTCCCTACCCTGCTATCACCATGGATGCTGGGGGAGGGCAGGTAGCTTCTGGGTGCTCAGGGTACTTGTGAGTAATGCCATAATGTCCCCCGCCTATCTCAGAGCAGGGCAGTGTTGATTCTGTGGGAGGGTTACCCTCACCAAGACAAAATCTTCTCCCTCAGCCGTCACACAATCCAGACCTGACTTCTGTGGCCCAGACACACCAAGCCCCCTTTTCATATGTGTGGCCAGTACTATGGCCAAAGCCTTGGCCAAGCCCTACCCATGGTGGACATCTGATGTCTTGTGAGCAACTGTTGGGTACAAGGGGCCATGACAATGAGCAATCTCATGTCTCCTTCCTTTGAACACGATGAAGTGGTACCTTTTAGCTATCATAGAGTCCCACAGCTACACATGTCAGGCTAGAAATGGGCCCCCACTATGGCAAAGCAGACTAGGACAAGGCTGTGGACCTGGTCCAGGCCTGAGCCCGGGTTGACTGAAAGTCAGGCAGTGAACCCGCTGCTCTTGGCAAGGCCAGTGTGATATTATGTATGAAAATCTGCAGATCCAGGGTGGAACCAAGAGCCAGTTTCACTAACTTGCTTGTCCTGGAAGAGACTCCAGAGCAGGCTGAGCAGTGTGGCCCTTCAGGTTGGGCTAGAGTTTGGGAAGCAGTCCCATAACCTCAGCTTGCTCATCTCTCAGACATGTGGATTGGGCTGTGGACCTCTGGAGCATGTGGTCCAGGTGACATCCACTGCCTCCAGGGATCCCCTGGGGCAGGCACGGTAGCTTATCCCAGCACAGTGTCCCTTGAGTGAAGGCTGAGACCTGTGACCTTTGAGTCCTTCCCCTTGGTGATACTGTGGGTAAGTAGGGGCTCCTTTGGTTCCCCTTCCAGAGAGGCCAGTCCTGAGACCTATGTGCCTTATGGTCATAGTACCCAGGAGCAGGGCTGCCTCTGGGTAGTGGACAAGGTGCCTAATGTATGGGGACATTTCTGCCTTTGCCTGCTGGCTGCAGGAGGACACATCTGCTCCCAAGAGGCCTGCATGGGCCTTGGTCTACCATGGCCTTGGAAGCCACAAATGCTTCTGACTTTTCATTGGTGGCTGGTGCCACATGCCTTATCTATCCTCACCCTGAGCCCTGGGTGGCAGGCCTCAGTCCCCTTGCTAGCAGGCAGTCAGGACCCCAGCTCAGGAAGGGTCCTCCGTGGCTCTGGGGGAATGCTGGGACCTAGTCTCTTCCCAAGGTGCACAGCACTGATTCTGGCTGCAAGAGTCTGCCTGGCAGCCTTAACTGGGTCACAGGAACTTTGATCTGGGCCTTGGCTGCCTCCACCACCTGAGCATCTGTGAGACTCAGGTGCTCTGGTCTTTCTCAGGGCTGCTGTCTGTGTAGCAGCTTCAGCACCCTTGCAGCACAGGGAGGGCTGGGCTCACCAGTGTGAGTTCCTCCAACATGGGCTGTTCTGAAATGGAAACCTCCCCTTCCCCTGCAGAAAAGATCTTTTTGGCCTACACTGTGCATATGAATCTAAAGCCTTTATTAATAATTCTTTCTAGGACAATGAATAAAAAAAATAAGGAGCAATTACTCTGTGCTGAGCTTTTGTCTGCAAACCACCAGAGATGCACTACTGAACTCCCCTACTCTAAGCAAGTCGAATCCTCCCCTCAGGGTTAACCTAAACCAGCCTGCGGGGGACTGTCCCCACAACTGACTGAGACTTTATTTAACAACTGTCTTAGTTACTTTTCTCTCATCACTGGGACAAAATACCTAACACCTAAAGTTAAAGAAGGGAAGGTTTATTTAGCTCACAGTTTGTGAAGATTTCAGTCCATACTGGGCTGGCTCCAAGGCAGGGTGGCACATAGCAGACAGGCAACTGTTCATGGCAGCAGAAGACAGCAGAAGCAACAAGAGAAAGCCTAAGGGGGCAACAGGCCCCTTTCTGCCCCTTGTATCTTCTCTATACTACTGGGATTAGGGTGAGGCCACTTTAGTCAGTGGGCTGACCCAGCAGTCACCTACCCTTAATCCCATCACTGGAGCATGAATCAATCATTAACTCTAGATTCAGCTTCCAAAAAAAAAAAACAAAAAAACAAAAAAACAAAAACAAAACAAAACAAAACAAAACTCATTTAAAAGTGCATGAGAGTTTGGGGGGACATCTAGACAGGAACCATAACACCAGCTCCTGTGCTGAGTCACTGCATCACTGTATTTGCTCCTCAAGTACAGCCTACAGGGCTTAGGAACATGCAAGGGCCCTGGGCCGGGCAGAGCTCCTTGGCCTCAGGGTGCCCTTTATCATAGACACCACTGCCCACTCCTCATCTCCGTCCCATCCTTCTGCCCCTTTCTGCATCTTACCTGAAGCAAGGAATGCGCAAGTGGACTTGGCCATGTCTGCTAAGTGTTTGAATAATGAATGCAGGGAATAATGAGGGAAGGATGCAGATGTGCCTTTAACTGAGTGCACATTTCATTTTCAGCAGTGAGGGGAATAGCCAGGCAGATTCTTCTTTAGATGCAGGTATCTGCAAAAGCGCTGCACATGTCCCTGGAGCAGGGGGAGGTGGAACCTGTGCAGCTGCCACAGTGGGCAGGAAGAGCTCTGGGGCATGTGCCCTGCAGGCTGAGCATAGCCTTGTGTGGCCTCGCCCATCATTAAATGAGGATCTGACCAGAATGCCAGGAACAGCAAAGGTACAGCAAAGACCCAGGACTGTGGCCAAGGGGAGGGGAGAGACTGTACCCCAAGAAGCCACTCCACAGGCAGGTGTTGAAATACAGCACGGTACAGAATGCAGTACACATGTCACAGAGACATGTAGGGACAAAAAGACCCTGAAAAAGCACCAAGGAGGACCTGTCTGTAAAAGGAGTTTGTGTTCAGAAAAACAAAATAATTTCTGATGGCAAGGAAGAGTACCAACTTTTGGGCCATGCAGTCCCCAAGTGTCACACCATCAGGAAATGTGGGAGTCCCCAAGGAGTGGCCAAGGTAGGAAGAGATGATCCTAGAGGGTGGGGTTCTTTTTTTTTTTATTAATTTTATTGAGAAAGAAATAGCATTGAGACAGTTTCAAAACAGGTTGGTAGGACAGTTACAATAGTGAATACATTGCATATTGTTCTTTGTAGTTATCCATAGTACAAGATGCAGACATGATATCTTGTCTAAACACTATTAGTTCAAAACTTTCTGAGGGTGGGATCTTTGGAAGCCAAGTAAAGATGGAATTGTGAGGGTCAACTATGAGAAACAGTATGAGGAGATTTGAGGCCTGGGATTGTCCAGTGAATTCAGCCACTTAGTCCCTTGGTAATGTGGGAACTGGCTCGTCCCAGCTATGGCCTCCTGTCCGTCTGGTCCTGTCCATCTGGTTCTGTCCGTCTGGTCCATCCTGAGTGAAGTTCAGTGTGTGTGACTGTAGTGACGTCTCCTGCACTTCTGCCTGGTGCCTGCCTCTTGGCCTCCAGTCTGGGCTTGTCTAGGTCCTGCCGTGCTCAACCCTCCCCAGCCTCTCTGGGCGGGCCAACTCCCTCCCGCCACAGGCCATCTGCACATGCCCTTCTGAGAGAGAAGCACATGCTCATGTTGCTTTTGTGGATTTCGGATGAGATTTCTGAGTCTGTGAAAATCCCCTTTCTGGACATCCTCTCTTTTTCTTTTTCTTTTCTTTCTGTATTTTACAGAAGGGTCTACAGGGTGTTGAGGGTCTCACTACTAGATCAGACCCATAGTGATTCTCCTGTTTTCAGCCTCCCAAGTGCTGGGATTATAGGTGTGCACCACCACGCCCAGTCTTAATTGCCTCCGGGGGTGGGGCTGGCATGGCAGGCCCCGGGGATCGAACCCCAGCCCCTGCATCTGCTTGCAGATGCTTTAATCTGCTGAGCTATGTGGCTGGCCCTTGTCTCTTTTCTACTCTCTTCCATTTTTCATATTTTGATTTCTGTGTTTTATCCCCTTGGGCCTGACCTCTTAAAAGGGAAAAACTGTACTAGGAAGAATTCTTTTAAAAATTTTGTTCTCTTTGAAGCTGCCTAGCTCTGTAACTGCTTCATGGCTCTGTAATAACTTTCTTGACCCCAGCAATCATGAGAGCATAACCAAACGTACAAGATACCGGGTTCTATGAAGCTTTGTGGCCATTAATCTAGCCCTGTAATGGATGATCTCACCCTGCTAGCCAATCGGAGGAACTGCCAGGCTGTCCTTTCCTGCCTTTGCAACCTCTGCTTTATGGTGCATATAAAAAGTGCTGGTTTGCAGCCACTTCTCATCTGGCTTCTGTTGGAAGATTTTCCAGCCGAGACCACCGGTGTAAAATAAAGCTGTTCACTGCCCCCTGGCTTCTTCGGTCTCCCTCCTTTGTCAGACAGGGCTTTGCCGCAGCACTCTGTCCCTTGGCCCCTTCCTCGCCCACCCACCCCTCTCCCTCTCTACTATTCTTCACATGGTGATCTCTCTGAAACTTTTCAGCTTCAGCTAAAAGATTATCCTCCAGAAAGATACTCCAAATTCCTCCCGTAAATATGCCCAACACTATCTTTATCTGGCCCTGGGATAGCAATCACTGAAAATTCTGTAGTGGCCAAATATTTTATTAGTTATTAGTAATGATGGTGTGGCAGTAACAGTCACTCATGCATTGAAGATGATGTATCAGCCTCAAAATATTTTTTTTTTCCTTTCTCCCCCCAGTTTTTTTGAGGCATAATTGACAAGCACTCTACACATTCGCGGTGGACAGAGGCACGGGCCTCTCGACGCTGCTCCACCTGCACAACGGGGTCGGAAGAAGTCCAAAGCGGGG